TATGTTCTCCATAGTAGCAGCAGCGTCCTGGTACAGACAGTCTTTTTTGCTAAAACTATTGGAATCTAAGGGCTAACTTGAGCCCTAAATTTGCCCTGCAGCTTCATTTAAATTAACACAAGCCTCACAGCCAGTGCTGATTTAAAAACTAATGGCAACTCCCAGCTCTCCTAAAAAAGTGTCCTTTTCTCTCTCTTTCCTCTTTTTGGGTTGACTTTTAAGTTCTTGGTAATTTACAAAAATCTTGGCCAAGTACAAGAACTTCAGTTGACCCATTTCAAAAAAACAAGTCCTGCTTAGGGGACGCCCTGCTACAACCTATATGGACTCATCTGACCCCCGAAGACGTTTGGGGGTTGGAATCCTAAACATCTGCCTTCTTCTTCTCTCTGAACCTAACTATCTGCTATCTGCATCTCAGCTCACTTCCGCCCTTCTCCTCACCTTGCCATTCCCGGTGGCTGTCTGGCTTGATACAGACTGGACAAACCGGCTGCAGCTTCTACAAAAAGAGAGAGAGAGAGAGAGAGAGAGAGAGAGAGAGAGAGAGAGAGAGAGAGAGAGAGAGAGAGAGAGAGAAGAAAATCCTCCTCTGTTTTGCTGTGGGATGTTCTGTATGGCAAATGTGTTGCTCTGATTGGTCAATAAATAAAACACTGATTGGCCAGTGGCTAGGCAGGAAGTATAGGCGGGACAAGGAGGAGAATAAAGCTGGGAAGTGGAAGGCTGAGTCAGAGACACTGCCAGCCGCCAGGATGACAAACAGCATGTGAAGATGCCGGTAAGCCACGAGCCACATGGCAAGGTATAGCTTTATAGAAATGGATTAATTTGCCGGGCGGTGGTGGGGCACGCCTTTAATCCCAGCACTCGGGAGGCAGAGCCAGGAGGATCTCTGTGAGTTCGAGGCCAGCCTGGTCTCCAAAGCGAGTTCCAGGAAAGGCGCAAAGCTACACAGAGAAACCCTGTCTCGAAAAAGCAAAAATAAAAAAAAAAAATGGATTAATTTAAGCTGTAAGAACAGTTAGCAAGAAGCCTGTCACGGCCATACAGTTTGTAACCAATATAAGTCTCTGTGTTTACTTGGTCGGGTCTGAGCGGCTGTGGGACTGGCAGGTGAGAGAGATTTGTCCTGACTGTGGGCCAGGGAGGAAAACTCTAGCTACACTGTTTTAATATAAAACCTAAGTTCTAAGTTTACAAAGACAACTAACTTATAAGTTGGTAAATAAGTTTACTTTAGTTAAAGATAATTAAGAAGTAAAACTTATTGACTGATTCGCCAACCTAAACTGTAAACTGTTAAGGATAAGTTGTACTTAAGCTATAAGTTATTAGAGATAATTATTAGGATGCAAATTAAAGCTTGATCATTTTATGATCAAATTCTCTGATGTATACAAAATCATATTTATATACATGCTAAGTATGCTAAATTTCATATAATCAATTCATTACTTAGCCCCCTAGCATTTAAAATGTTTAAGTTTTGGACAAAACTGCCATACCCCTTATTGCCAGGATTTTTTCCAAACTATGCTTTGAGATCATTTGGATTATATTCCCATTTACCAGGCCTAAAAGGTAATTTGCCTTGCTATCCAAATTCTTGCCAAACAGATTTCAAAATAAACTTTGACTGTTCCTTTGTTTAAAGGAATTCACCACATTGGCTGCTCTCAGTAATCAATCACCTATATCTCCTGATGAATTAAATACAAAAATGCTTTCAGATGTAAGTAAAGTTTTTATAAGGATATGAATGATTAGATATAAAGAATGTTTAAGAACATTAAGAAATAGTTTATTGTATGTGTAATGCAAGTCATTGGAACAGAGAAATATAACATATGAACATCTAGATATGTTATAAATGATCCATAAATCTCAGTAAATAACCCAGAGATACTGAGGATGTATGCCTAAGTTAGATCTATGGATAGATATTGAGGTCTGAGATAGATATATAGGCTTTAAAAATAAACTTATGTATACCTTAATACAAAAGTCTATGGACCGCCTCAGAAGGGACACTGGGGCTAATTATATGCCGTAGCTCCTCGGCTGTACAAGGTTGCCCTAGGGATGTACGATTCTGTCTTTACTGGAGAGATTAAGATCATTGTACAATTCAGATTCACACAAGGCAGAGCCTAAGGGAGCTGCTGGTGTAGATTCTAGTGATATGGCCTTCTGGGTTCAGGAAATTAAATATTCCAAACAACTAAACACTTAAAATACAGGGATAATTGGCTTGCTAGACATAAACATAGCTGTTTCTTATATTTCTGAAAAAGATTGGCCAAGTACTTAAGACGATTATTACTTCTTCGTCTCTTACAGGCCTAGGTCAAGCTAATAATGTAGCCAGAAGGTCAGGAAAATCTAATGCTTCTATCTGGATCAAACAATGGCTTTTAAATGCTGAAAAAATTATAATTGCTACCTGTCTGGTGGAGGAAAAACTTAAATATTCGGCATATGAAGTCCCCCACCAGCCCTTAAATCACCCCAATATCTTTTTATTTAGGAAAATCAGGCTTATAAACTGTTACAGATCCTTTAAAAATTAAATAAAATTTATTAAAGCCAAGGAAAGTCTCACAGCTTGGCTTGCCATCTCCCAGGGCCATCCCCAAAAATCAAAAAAAAAAATCGTCATAGATATACAAGATTGTTTCTTTACCATCCTCCTCAACCTAAAGATTGTCAGGATTTCGCTTTTAATTTGCCTACTCACCCTACCATGATGGAGGCCAAAGTTGACATACAGAGCAGAAAATGCGAGTTCTGTCTATCCAGGACTCATTCATTGAACAAAGTTCCTCATTATATATGCAGATTAACTATCAGAACTGTCAATTATAGCTTCCTCACAGTCCCCCAACCTATATGTTTGTATACATGTATATGTATATACATATATCTTACAATACATTTATTGTACAGATGATATTATATTTGTATCAAACTATGAAACTTGTGAGTCTATAGAATGGCAGATAGCTCTACAGGACATACTGGCACCTTTTCATATGTCTGTCCAACAATTATAAATTCTCTCCCTATAGAAGATCACCCACGAGGCTTACGTCCTTATGATTTATGGTTATGAAATAAGAAGTTATACACCATTTCTTTCACTGCTTTTTAATTTTAGGAATGCCTTGAGCCCAAATATAGACAACAGCCTTACATATACTTCAAGAGTTCTTAAGAATTGGTACTTATTTTTCATATCCCTCACTACAGGTATTCCTCATCACCACCAGGTCAAGCCACAAAGTTACACCTAAGCCTCTATGATCTCCTCACTGGTATTTAACAAGGTCCTGCTGTTTTCATAATGTCAGGAGGAAGATACATGTCTTTATAGGACATTGAACGCCTTTATGAATCCTGGATCGCCTGGTCACACCATATATTGGCAGCTGCAGGACAAAGGCGTTCTAAAGCTGCCAGTCTAAATACAGGCTGTTATTTACCTCTAGATTCTTAAATATTGAGCCTTGAATATGAATAAATTGATACAATTCCAGATCCTTTTGATGAACTGTTCATCAAAACTTATAGAAAGATGATTAGAACTAATAATTCTGTTCTAAATGTATTTTATTAATTTTTGTCAAAATATATATGAGACTTGGGAGATATGTAAATGACACATTTCAGATTTCATTCTCTGGCTATCCTGATGTTTTGTTGAGGCTCCAAGGACTCATAATTTTGCTCTGATAAAGTTCACCACTGTTATATTGCTAACATGTCTAAGATTTTGTCTATTAAGAAGGTTCTCATAAGCTTCAGGAGATCATGCCGGCGGTGATGGCGCGTGATCAACATTTGCCAATGCCCACAAGCCAAGAAGGACTGGGAGGAATACAACCTGACTACAGTTTATATCTCCCACTTACAAATTTTCTTTTTCTTCTCTGGGGGTGGGGTCAGACTGCCCACAATTGCAAAATTTATTGGAGGGAGGAAAGCGTAGGATGCCCCAAACCGTGACTGCAGTCACTCTGGCTGTCCTCCTGGAGGTCGGGGCTGCAGGGGCCGGTACAGGCATAGCTTCCCTGGTTTTATCTAATCAACATTATTCAGAGCTTAGAATTTCCATAGATGAGGATATAGCGCAGCTTGAGCGAGGCATTTCCGCCCTTGAATCCTCCCTCACCTCCCTTTCAGAGGTGGTCCTCCAAAACCGCCGAGGGCTCAACCTCCTCTTTTTACAGCAAGGAGGTCTCTCTGTGTGCCGCTCTCAAGGAAGAGTGCTGCTTTTATACTGATCACACAGGAGTAGCAAGGGATAGCATGGCCAAGGTCCGGGAAGGCTTAGAGAAGCTCAAAAAAAGAAAGAGATCAAGAGCTAGGCTGGTTCTAAAATTGGTTCTCTGCATCTCCCTGGCTAACCACCCTCCTGCCGTCCCTTCTGGGACCCTTGGTTGGCCTCATTCTTCTCTTGACATTCGGCCCTTGAGCCTTGTCTCGACTAACTCGATTTGTGCGCGGTCAGCTGGCCGAACTTCAGGCAAAACAAATTCAGGTTCATTCCCATCGCCTCGATCTCCATGATCGTGGTCTCGATGAACCAGATAAAGACTCCATATCAGCACAGGCCCCTCTGCCCAGGGGAGGATGCACCTGTGCCTGGGAGCTGGAGCCCACTGCATAGGGGATTGAGGGTGCAGCTGGGAATGCAGAAGGCAGGGAGACCAAAGTGCTCCACTATCTTGGGTGCCTTGGATGACATGCTTTATTGCATGGCGGTTATGCAGACCCTGTACTCTTTCCTCCCGAATTCAAACCCGCCCCCTGTAAAAAACTGCATCGTAGCCGGGCGGTGGTGGCGCACGCCTTTAATCCCAGCACTCGGGAGGCAGAGCCAGGCGGATCTCTGTGAGTTCGAGGCCAGCCTGGACTACCAAGTGAGTCCCAGGAAAGGCGCAAAGCTACACAGAGAAACCCTGTCTCAAAAAACCAAAAAAAAAAAAAAACAAAAAAACAAAAAAACAAAAAAAAAAACTGCATCGTTCCAGCATCCTTCAGGGCACGTGGGGACGCCTACATGGACTGACAGTTAACAATGGAACTTATCAGGGATAGAGCCTCTGTCACCCCTCTCCTGTCACGGCAAAAACATTTGGGCCTCCTTTCTTTGTTTTGCTATACATAGAGAAGGGGGAGATATCAACAACCAAACATGGACCATGGAAAAGTACTAGCTGGGCCAGAGAACAAGCCCCTGCCCTCAACCAGATGCCCCCAAAGATAAAGAACAGGTCAGGCAGGTCAGGTAGCATAGCAACAGAACAATGGGCCCTGACCAGTGAACTTACCACCTAGCACAACACCCTCACGACTTGCAGGTCCCCCTTCACCTGCATGTCCCCCTTCACCTGTACGAATGGCACATCGTGCACCCCTTCCCTCCTACCTGCCCCCTCCCTCTCCCATGCTATATAAGCCTTGCTGAGGAGAATAATACTTGCAGCTTGATCAGAACACACTGTCTTGTTGTCTTCTTTCGTGTCTCCCCCATCCCTTTCATTTCCCTTTCATTCTCTCCTGCAGGTGGGTCACACCTGTTGACACCCCGTTGGCCGGGGCAACCCCAGACATGCTAGAGAGGTGGGGTGGTGGTGTCCCACAACCGAGAGCACACAGGGAGGTGTGAAAACAAGGGAGGAGACCACCCAACTCAATGGGACCCTAGGTCAAGCACCGGGTTCCCACCTGGCAGAAGGCCGCTCCCAGGTGGACACAAGGGATAAGGGCAGACAACTGTGTATACTGGTCAGGACTCCAGGGTCGGCAGCCTGAGTCCCCTATTCTAGCGTCCCATGGTCTAATAGTGAGATGGGAGAGGAGAAGGGCTTCCTTCCAAAACCTTGGCCTCCGTGGTGAAGTGCATTCAGATGGATCTGCCAAATCATCCAAAGCAGGGAGCACTAGGGTCCGGGGACATCCACAACCTCGCCTCAACAGGCAGGCCGACCAGGTCCCTGAGGAGGAGACAAGGACACATCAAAAGAAGAAACATTGCACCCACCTGCCCTCTTGTCACCAAACCCTGGGCCCCGGCCCCACCTTAACCGTCTCCTAGGCAGCACCAGGCAACCATTCTGACCTACCTCCAGCTCTGTCACAATCCCTCTCCTCTGCACAGTCCTCTGCCTCAAAAACCTAACCTCCCACCTCCCAACCCTACCCTACACCAACTACCAGGCACCACTCAGGAAACTTCTTTTTCCCTTCTCTAATTTCCCTGTATCCTCTGTGGACACCCACCTGCCTGTGGCAGGGCCTAGGCACACACAAGACTCAGCTCTCTCAAGAGATTCAACTGGCCCGAGGACAGCAACATAGAATTAAGGGACAAGAAGTAATTCTCACTCTTAACACCAACACCAGGATGCCTGCTTCACACACCCACCCTGTCTGTCCTTATGGATATCCCACAACATTGCAGGTGTCCTACACACAATTCCCTCCAGGGCCCCAGACCCATGGAACAGAAAAAAGTGTCCACAGACAGAGTGGGTCTGCCCACCAGCCTGCATGAAAAAAACACCAACAATCACGAAAACACCCAACAGCCCACATGCAGATTCTCATTTGCTCTCCCACCCTCTCTCATCCTGTCCCGCCCCCCTCTCTCTCCCTGTTGCCCCCCCCATTTATCTATCCTCCTCTACCTCCACCTCTACCTCTATCTCTGTCTTTCTCTATCCTTCGCTCCTATGTACCGTCCCATCCCTGGTATCCACGGTAGCTAGGCCATGTTCAGTTGGGAAATGCTTTGCACTCCCCAACAGGAAGCCTTCCTTCCATGAGCACTGAAAGTCTCCAGAGGACCTCCTCCACACTGCTGACATCTTCCATCATGGAGCCTCGAAGAAAATCACTCTCCCTGCCACCTGGAGACAAGCCTGTCTATGCTCTTCCAAACCTCCTTCTCTACAAAGCCTCATGGAGACATTTGCTTAGGATAAAAAGGGAGCTTCCTGGTGCCTTGGTGAGGGTGGAGGCCCTGACTTCCTAGACCTGCCTGGCAGGCCACTCCAATGGAATGTCCCACCACCTTTCCAATGGTTCTTACACAATGCTCTCATCCACCATGCCCCGGCAAGGCCTGAGCCCCCAACCACACACACGATGCACCACTCCAAACCTTGTGCTCACCTGAGCTGGAGCTGAAGGATAGAGCCCTAGAAGGCTTCCCCTGCATGCAAACCTGTCCTTCCTCTACATCCCAGAGCTGACCACGATAACTGTTACATACTGTGCCTCTCAGCCATTGCTTATGGCTTCTCACAGGACTAGGCCACAATAATCCCAGGTATACACAAACACCCAACACACACACACACACACACACACACACACACACACACACACACACACACACTCACAAACACTCCTCCATGCGTAGCAGTTCTAGGACTCTAGATAGAGCTTTCTGTTAATTTCAGAGCCTTCTCTAAATATTCTTCCTGCTGACATGATGCCTGCACAGGGGAGTGAGTGCAGGACAAGGGGATTTTTGACCTTTGACCCTGGGAAGTCTCCCTGGGTTTAAGGCAGAGTGAGCTAGGCAGGAGAACAGAGGAAGGAGTATGCGGTCTGCATGTGTGTCCTGCATAACACAGAGGAGGCTTGTCGGGGGAGGTAGGGACCATGAAACCTGGCTACCATGGTACCTATGTTCTGCCATGCCTGTTTATGAGCACCCCTGTGTCCAAATCCTGTTTGAGCTGCTTCTACTGGGATTCACTTTGAGCCACCACACTGCCTTGCTGGGTACACACAACCACCTTGCATAGGATGATGATGGGTGGGGAGCTTTAAGACCCCTTGTAGGGATCTGGGGATGTGGCTCTGCAGCAGGAACCTTTTCTGACAGGTCCCAGTCTCTGAATTCCACCTATAGCACAGCTCAAGGGGAAAGCCTGTAAAAGGAACAAAAGGAAAGCCAGAGAGAAGGCCTGGCAGCCAGAGAGGAGAGGGGATGGCAGGGAGAGAGTTAAATGGATGACAGACATTTGGCCAAGGTGGCTAGCAACCAGGCCTGAGACCCTGAGTACCTCCCAGAGATGCAGGACACAGTTTGTGTGGTCTCCGGAAGTGAGCTGTGGATACCGCTAGGGAGGCTCAGACAAAAGCTAGGGGGTCCCAGTGTGGACTTGTGCACCACAGTAAGGGCAGGCGGTCCGGCACACGGGTAGGAAATTTCCCCAAAACGACCATGATGCAGCCCAGGCTGCACAATCTCCTGCGGAGAGGTCCTCTGCTGCGGCCAGACATGGCGGCCACAGGACCCGGGAGGCTGTGCTTCCGTGACCTGCAAGCCAACCCTCGTGGCGCCCGCCCGGAGCTAGTCTCCTGGACCCTGCTTCCTCCTCCAGCTCTCCTGGCTCATGGAGTGGGAAAGAGAACCGCTTTGGTCCTGGGGGACCCAGGCGGGAGCCCTTCCCTAGCGGGCCGCCTCCATTTCCAGGGAAGCACAGGGACTTGCTGGCGGAATCGGCAAACTGAATCCGCGTGATGGCAGCAGTGCACCGAGAATGCCAACGGCCAAGGGTGCAGGGTGCTCTCCCTCCGCCCTTCGCAAAGCAAAAAAATTAAAAAAAAAAAAAAGAATTCTCCTGCCAAGTTCCAACATGGAGGCCAACCCTGTAGGAAGGGACTGGACACACATGAGGCTCTAGGGCTGCTGCTAGGGATCCCAGGGTGTTCAGCGGGTGGGGTGCGGTGGGCACATGAAGGATACCGACCTTAACACTTCCTCCATGCCCTGCACTGCCCTGAGACACTTGGCTTTGGGCACATGCCAGCCCATGATGGCCCCGCCTGAGGGTATCATGTAGTACCTGGAGAGGGGGCGGGTGGTGGAGGGTGTCATGGAGGGGGCCAAGTGGGGAGTGTGTGCATGTGGGCGCAGAAGCACTTGAGAGCCTGCACCAGACCCTAAGGGAATCCTACACAAACCACATGCCAATCTGGACTATAGGGAAGGAGCCTCAGAAACATACTCATGGATTTGGGGACCACAGGCTGAGCATCACTCCCTAGCTGCCAAACCAGGGCATTCTCACAGTGGTATCCCTGCCCTCGCCCCGCCCTCACCCCAAACACACACACACACACACACACACACACACACACACACACACACACACACACACACACACACATACACACAGCAGTTTCAGAGATCCAGCAGCTGTCTACATGACTCCACCCACCAGGGTGACCAGTACAGCTGCCAGGATGGCCTTGGGTCTCCTGACCCAAGCATCCAGGTCAAGGCGCCAGCCAAGAGGGGCCTCCCAGGCTGACCCCCGTCTGCTAGGGCAGTGGGTTGGTGGTGTCCCAGAACCGAGCGCACACACGGAGGTGTGAAAACAAGGGAGGAGACCACCCGACTCAATGGGACCCTAGGCCCAGCACGGGCTTTCCACCTGGCAGAAGGCCGCTCCTGGATGGACACAAGGGTAAAGGACAGGCAGCTGTGTTCACTGGTCAGGGCTCCAGGGTCGGCGGCCAGAGCCCCGTGGCCCAGGGTCCCATGGTATAATATTGAGATGGGAGAGGAGAAGGGCTTCCTTCCAAAACCTTGGCCTTGGTAGTGATGTGCGTTCAGGTGGATGCTGCCCTACATCATCCGAAGCAGGGAGCACTAGGGTTCGGGGACATCCACAACATCGCCTGAACAGGCAGGCCGACCAGGTCCCTGAGGAGGAGACAAGGACACATCAAAAGAAGAAACATTTCGCCCACCTGCCCTCTTGTCACCAAACCCTGGGCCCCGGCCCCCACCTTAACCATCTCCTAGGCAGCACCAGGCAACCATTCTGACCTACCTCCAGCTCTGTCACAATCCCTCTCCTCTGCACAGTCCTCTGCCTCCCACCCCTAACGTCCCACCTCCCCACCCTACCCTACACCAACTACCAGGCCCCACACAGGAAACTTCTCTTTCCCTTCTCTAACTTCCCCAAGTCCCTGTCAGGCACGGAACTCTCTGTATCCTCTGTGGACACCCACCTACCTGTGCAGGGCCTAGGCACACACAGGACTCAGCTCTCTCAAGAGATTCAACTGGCCCGAGGACAGGAAATTAGAATTAAGGGACAAGAAGTAATTCTCACTCTTAACACCAACACCAGGATGCCTGCAGCACACACCCACCCTGTCTGTCCTTATGGATATCCCACAACATTCCAGGTGTCCTACACAAAATTCCCTCCAGGGGCCCAGACCCATGCAACAGAAAAAAGTGTCCACAGACAGAGTGGGTCTGCCCACCAGCTTGCATGAAAAACACCAACAATCTCGAAAACACCCAACAGCCCACATGCAGATTCTCATTTGCTCTCCCACCCTCTCTCATCCTGTCCCGCACCCCTCTGTCTCCCTTTCGCCCCCCCCTCATTTATCTATCCTCCTCTACCTCCACCTCTACCTCTATCTCTGTCTTTCTCTATCCTTCGCTCCTATGTACAGTCCCATCCCTGGTATCCAGTGTAGTTTGGCCATGTTCAGTTGGGAAATGCTTTGAACTTCCCAACAGGAAGCCTTCCTTCCATGAGCACTGAAAGTCTCCAGATGCCCTCCTTCATACTGCTGAGATCTTCCATGAAGGAATCTAGAAGAAAATCACTCTCCATACCACCTGGAAACAAGCCTGTTTATGCTCTTCCAAATCTCCTTGTCTACAAAGTCTCCTGGAGACATTTGCTTAGGCTAAAAAGGGAGCTTCTTGGTGCTGGGGGTGCGTGTGGAGGCCCTGACTTCCTAGACCTGCTTGGCAGGCCACTCCAAAGGAGGCTCCTACCAACTTTCCAATGGTTCCTATACAATATTGTCATCCACCATGCCCCAGCAAGCCCTGTGCCCCAAACCCCACACATGAGGCACCAAACCTTGTGCTCATCTGAACTGGGGCTGAAAAATGGAGCCCTAGAAGGCTTCCCCTGCATCCAAACCTGTCCTTCCCTTACATCCCAGAGCTGATCACCATAACTGTTACATATTGTGTCTCAGCCACTGCTTCTCACAGGACTAGGTCACAATAATCCCAGGTATACACAAACATCCAACACACACACACACACACACAAGCACTTCTCCATGCGTAGCAGTTGTGGGACTCTAGATAGAGCTTTCTGTTAATTTCAGAGCTTTCTCTAAGTATTCTTCCTTCTGAGGTGATGCCTGGACAGGGGAGTGCAGGACAAGGGGATTTTGGATCTTTGACCCTGGGAGTTCTTCCTGGGTTTAATGCAAAGGGAGCTAGGCAGGTGAACCCAGGAAGGAATATTCGGCCTTCATGGGTGTCCTTCTTGAAACAGAGGAGGCTTGTCAGGGGAGGCAGGGGCCGTGAAATCTGGCCACCATTGTACCTAAATTCTGCCTGGCCTGTTTGTGAGCACCCTTGAGTCCAAACTCTGCTCTAGCTGCTTCTACTGGGATTCACTTGGAGCCACCACACTGCCTTACTGGGTACGCACAACCAGCTTGCATAGGATGATGATGATGTGAGGGGGGGAGTGTTCAGACTTCTTTTAGTGTTCTGGGGATATGGCTGTGGAGCAGGAAATTTTACGGACTGCTCCGAATTCTTCAATTCCTCCTGTAGCACAGTTCAAGGGGGAAAGCCTTGTAAAAGAAACAAAAGGCAAGCTAGAGTAAAGGTCTGGAAGACAGAGATTAGAGAGGATGCCAGGGAGTGAGCCAAATGGATGACAGACATGTGGCCACACTGACCATATGTCCCTAAGCTTTTGTGTACCACTCTAGATACCTGGTAGTATGTGTATGGTTTCCAGAAGTAAAATGTGGGTGCTGTTGGGAAAGCTCCACCATATTTAGTGGGTCATTATGTGGCCTTTTGCACATTGCTAAGTAGGGCATGAGAAATTCCCCACATCAACCCCGATGCAGCCTAGAATGGCATGATTCTCCATGGGACAGTGACAGCAATTCTTCTGAGAGAATATTTAATTTAAATATATGTGATCTTATACAGCATTCATACATATTATATATTTTTATTTTTAATTTGTATAAAATATATATATATATATCATATGATTATGTTAATTATTCTATCCTGACCCTTATAGTTTCAAATGACATTGAAACCCCACTCTTTATCTTTCCTATAAGGATATAAACACGGAGTAATTTCCTTGACTTAAAAATATACTTAAAATTGATGTCGACATATAAAAAGTTGTAACAGTCATAGAAGAAGAATTGTAAGATCACAGAGGTGTCTCAGGTAAAAGCATTTCCTTGTGTGCGCCTGAAAACCTGTGTCTAGATCCTCTGCAAATTATACCGCCCCTGTTGTTCTACCTTTGTTTAGGTAGATAGAAATTAAAGAAGCGAGCAGAATAAAGCCAAAAATTTTAGGTCCACCATTTTGGAGTGTGCGCTGAAAATGCAAAAATAAGAGAGACCCTGTTTCAGACAAGGTTAACAATGAAAACCAACTGGATATAATTGTTCTAACCACTGTGTATACGTGCCTCATGCACTACACATACACACACTTTGTATACACACACACACATACACACACTTTGTATACACACACACACACATAGAAAATTAAAAGATAAAGTAAACTTCAAAAATAATTCTGCCGTGCTGAATGTGTTATAAGAGGCCTCTTATCTTAGCCTTGGGTGATGAAAGCAGGAGTATGTTGGAGACAAGACACTTAGTTTGAAAAATAATAGAGGAAGAGAGCCTAAAGCTTCTCAGGTGTCAAGTCACCTTGGAGTATACACAAACTTGAGAAAGAGCGATGGCTATGTACAGGAAGTTCCTAGTTCCATGCCTGGTTCACTGATAAACCTTGATAAACCTTGTAGCGATGCAGAAACTAAGTGGAGAGGTAACTTCTTTTGTGTTGTTTTGTGTATTAGGTCATTCCTTTATCATTCTAGACTCTAGAGGAGGAAGCTTAAGTATTCCTACATTTGAGTAAAAACACAGCAAAAAAAAAAAAAAAAAAAGCCCGTGGCTATATGTGAACATAATATTCATCGTGGTAAATAAGTAGGAACTATGATATCAATCTCGTCAGAAACTTTAAGTTTTAAATAATGCTGCATTGGAGGCTTATGCTTCAGTATGATTAACCACCAATACAAGGATACAGAGGAACACCCACAAATACCGACAATGCCCTCATTTGTACATAATTTGCATTTTGACCTGTTTTTTTAAATAGGACTTGCTCTTTTTAGGCATATTATGTATTATTATAGACTTTGGTATCAGAAAGAAGTTTTTCTTAAAACTTTTAAAATTTAAGTTTCATTATTCCTTTAATATTCCAGGGAGCAAGTGGTTGTAGGGCACAGTGCTTTTCCTCACATGAGCAAGGTCCTGGTAAATCAGTGCTGTAAAATATTCATAACCATGATTTCATATCTTCTCTAGTTCACAAAACTCTAGAGTCTAGACCAGTGAAAATGTGACTGGCCGGTGGTCCATGTCTTTAATCCGAGCATTTGGGAGACTTAGGTAGAAGGATTTCTTAGATGGAGGACAGCCTGGTCTACAGAGCCAGTTCCAGGGCAGCCAGGGCTACACAAAGAAACCCTGTCTTTCTGGAAAGAAAAAAATGCCCCTGATATTTTGTGAGATCTTTCCAATGCACACTCAGAAAGGCAGCTGTTTTTGGTGATGTTTTCCCCTCTGAAACATCCCCGAAAGTAAACGTTCTTGCAGTAAGTTTGGGGAACCCGCACAGCCTTGCACTGGGCGGCCACACTTTGGCGATTACTTAGCTCAAACCACCACAGCACCCGCGCCTAAATGGCGGTGCACAGGCAGAGAGTAGGGGGCCCTGCTTAGAGCTGAGTCCCTGAGCCCTCTCTGGCCTACCGCAACCTCCTCTGGACCAGGGAAGTGATTCCGGGTCCCCCACGAGGCCCTTCCACCAGGCTTTCCGGATGCTGCCCAGTGCACAAACTCAAGTGTCCCTAAACTCATGAACAAGGCCATCCCACGTGGTGTCTCCTCCACCTGCCAGAGGGTCCGTCCCAGTGAGCGCCAAGTCCCAAGGCTCCAGGCTCAGGGTCACACACTCAGGGACTGGAGAGGCCCTGGCTCCAGAGAGATCGCTCAAGCTACCAGGAAGGTGGGGATAATGCAAGAATCTTACGTGGTCCAGGCAGGGCCGTCCTGTGGTCGGATCTCAGGCCTCTGGGGGGCTGCAACCGCCAGCAGCGTGCACTTGGCGCCTTCTTCCCACTCTCCCACCTCTTGGTTGAGGGGGAAGTAGGAAAGGAAGAAGGAAATTCCTGTCCCTCTGAGTGCTGGCCCCGCCCAGCGGATAACTGATCTATCCTAGATCCGCCCCAGAGTCTCAAAGGGGCGGGACCTGTGGACCTGGGAAAGCCGCGAGGGTTTCTTTGCTACTTCCTGAGAAAATCTTTGGCTCCATTAAGTGAGACAAAGGGTGACTGAGGGAGCCATATAACGGGAAATTAGCATTTACGGGAGAAACAAGCTTAAATAGGTTTTAATAAAGATTAAAGTGTTGTGCCACCACACCCCTTCGGGTGTTTTGCCTGCATATATGTGTGTGTACCACAAGCATTCCTTGTGCCCACAGAGGACAGAAGAGGAACTGAGAGGGCACTGGATCCCTTGGAACCGAAGTTATAGACACAGATGGCGGTGAGCTGCCGCAGAAGTACTGGGAACTGTGCCTGGGTCCTTTGGAAGAGCAGTGGTTGCTTGCTCTTCAGGAGGGGCATGTCCTCAAGTTCTGGCAGGCAACCAGACCAATGGCAACAGTTTATATTGTCTGAGGAAATCTCTTGGACTATCAAACCACAAAACTCAAAGGAGATTTCACACACCTGGCACCAGATTTTTTTCTCCTAATGTCTGTGCTTCCAGGGGAGGGCATTATTCCCCAGGATGGGATATTTCCAATTAAACTACATGTACATATTTTGTATCTGCATTTTTAAGAAAGCCTATGAGAACTAGATCTGCCTATGGATTTTTTCAAACACCCAAAGCATTCTTTATCCATTCCCTCTCCTGCTAGCTTTCCCACCCCATACATCACCCTCCCCCCACCCCCACCCCCACCCAGTCATTGCCATCCCCACTTATGTTTCCCCCCATTTCCCCTTCCTGTCTTCATGGTACCTGTGCTCTACTACAGAGCCAAGAAACCAAAAGAGATATTCCCTTTTTATATGTGCTCTGTGCTTGTTAAAGGTTTTTGCTGTTGTTGGTGTTTCATTTTTCTAGAGACAGAGTTTCTCTGTGTACCCCTGGCTGTCCTGGACCTCGCTCTGTAGATTCAGACTGGCCTCAAACTCAGAGATCTACCTGCATCTGCCTAAGTACTGGAACTAAATATGTGTGCTACCACCTCCCAGTGTTAATTTTTTAAATTAGCAGACAAATTGTTGCCTTTCGTTATTGATGAAATGACATTTTTATAGATGTGTTTCCTTTTACTTTTTCATTCCCCCTTCCCCCACTCTACCCTGTACCCCTGATTTCCTCTTTCTATCTGATCGTCCTGTACCTCCACTCAAATAGTCCTTCTCCTATTTGGTTGACAGCATCCCATTCTACTTAAAATTCCTTCCATGTATGTTCCTGATACCATTTTTCACATGACCTCAAGTGTGAAACAAGACACATGTCCATTTTCTGATGAATGTTTAAACAAAATGCTTAAATGTTTTCATTTTGTTGTTTCTGAAACAAGGACTCACACTCTAGCCTGAGCTGGCTGAACTACATCCCTAGCTCTTTTTAATCAAAAATTTGTTTTGAGACAGGGTCTGGCTAAGTTGCCCAAGCCAGCTTTGAACTTCCTACCCTCCTGCTTTTACCTCCAGAGTAGCTGGAGTTACAAGTCTGCACCACCAGGCCAAGCAAGTGAGGAATAGTTTAATTCAAGTATCTTATCCAAATTGTTCTGTAAGTTATTCTGTTCATTTTCTAAAAACATTGACAACATATTTGTATATCATTAAATATTTGCATCCTATTCTGGGTGACTGTGCTGAGAAATGAACCTCATGCTTAATATATACCCCAGTCCCTACATCTCTACATTAGCCCCTATATCTTTACATTTCCTTATTATTTCACTATGTCATTTAAGAAACTACATATGGCCTAGCGTTGGGTTAGGGTAGGATGAATACTCTTTTTGCTCGAATGGTTTTACTGCCTGATTCAAAGAAGAATATGGATAACACATCATGTTTCAGAAAGTTACTAGGAGGACCTGTGTCTGTCTATTGTAGTCAGACTTTCATTTTTCACCAGCCAGTTCCCCCCAAAAAAACCACAAAGAAACTTCTTATTAATTATAAATGTGCAACCAATTGCTAAGACTTGATTTTTAGCTAGGCCTTGTAACTTAAATTAACCCATTTCTATTAATCTATGTGCTGCCGTATCGCTCATGGCTGGTTACCTCATATCCTGCTCCCTCTGTATCTTGCCAATGACACTCAGACTCAGCCCTTGTCCCTCCCAGCATTCTCTCTGCCCAAAAAAATCCTGTCTAGGTATTGAAGAATCGGCTTTTTATTCACAATGAGAGCAATACATATTTACAGTGTACAGAGATTGTTCCACAACAGTCTATAGTCAGCTAGAAATTACAGTTGAGTACAATGTTCAAGCCAGATGTTCCTCTGTCAATGCAAAAACAGCTTTTGTGGAGAGAGAGCTCATTTGGTAGATAGCTTACCAAGTATGCAGGAAGTCCTGGCTGGATTTGATTCCCAGCACCACAAAATTCAAGCATCGTGGTACATGAATATAATCCCAGCACATAAGGGGTAGAGTTAGGAAGATCAGAAATTCAAGATCATCCTTGACTACATAGTGAATTTGGGAATAGCCTGGGTTACTGATGAATCAGCCTTCCTCCAACTTAGATTTAAAGATCATCTTATAATAAAGACAAACTATTTTCATTCCTAATTATGATTAAACCTCTGCTTCTCAAGGATTGTCACCTGTAACCTTATCTACACATGGTTCTCTATGGCCTGCTCTGAGAAAAGACAACCATATCTTTGTTTCAAAAAGTTGTTATGACTACCTGTTGTTATAACTAAATTGTTATGCCCACCTTGCCACTATGTCTTTGTTTGAGGAGACTGTTATGATGAACTTGTTATGCTTTTGTTCTCTTCCTGTAACACCACCTACTTTGTCCACCAAATCCTCCCTTTTGGAAAGCCCCTACCTCTAAGCTACAAAACCCTTTTCTCCCTCATGTCCATTGTTGACCTCTTGACTCCAACTTAGGGGAGGGCAGTCCATGTACACAAATAAAAATAAAAAAGCTTGCTTTAATTAACTTGGCAATGATGACTTGGGTTGGTGGTCTTTCTCCTCTCATCTTTGGTATTAAGTTTAAGCTCTCTCTCTCTCTCTCTCTCTCTCTCTCTCTCTCTCTCTCTCTCTCTCTCTGTGTGTGTGTGTGTGTGTGTGCGTGTGTGTGTGTGTTTTCAAGTCAGGGTTTCACCATGTAGACCACACTGTGCTAGTGTGCTAGAACCAGCTCTGTAGACCAGACTGTCCCCAAACACAGAGATTTGCCTGCCTCTGGCTCTCAAGTGCTGGGATTAAAGAAGTGAGCCACTACCACCTGGCAAGAAATTCTATTAAAAAAAACCAGCAATGATAAAATCCCATGATACACTTGCAATATATTGAATTAGAGTTTTCAAAATCTTTTGGCACCATTAACAATATAGGATTATGAATATGTGCTTGTAGCACACCCAGAACAATTGACATAAGATAGGACACGGAAAAAGAATTCCCTGCTTATTGAATAAATATTGTTAATGAATTTCTAATGGCATGTGCCACCTCTGCCCTGTGTGCTCTTGCTCTCTCTGCCCCAGTTCTATTGATGGGAGCATCAAGTATGGGAGATTGAAGCTAGCTGTGTAAAATCTAGTATAAGCTCAATAATCATTTAATAATATTCCAAGCCTTTGGGTGGGTAGAAAGTAGTGATCTGTTGCTTTATTCCAAGAGGATTTCACTTGATAGTACAGGGATATTAGTTCATACAGAGAGGTGTGTAGTCTGAAGTTTTCCTGTGCCCTGCCTGGTCCCACAGCTGCTCAAACCCAAAAAAACTTACAGAGGCTTATATTAATTATGAATTGTATGGTGATGGCCTATGGCTCAAGCTTCTTACTAGGTAGCTCTTATAACTAAAATCAGCCCATTTCTATTAATCAATATGTCACCACGTGTTCCATGACTTTACCTGTGTGCCATTACGTGCTGCTTCTTTGACTGCAAGATAGTGTCTCTCCTGCCTCTTCTTTTTCCTTTCCCTATCTCCCTTGGATTTTCCCACCTGGTTCCTTCCTGCCCTGCCATAGGCCAATGCAGCTTTATTTATCAACCAATCAGAGCAGCACATATTCACAGCATACAAAAAGATCCCACAGCCCTTTCCCTTTTCTATCTAATAAAAAGGAAAGTTTTAACTTTCACATAGTAAAACTGCATATAATAGAAGAGTTATCAAGCAAGAATTGCAGTTATAATATCTAGACTATTTGTATTTGGCAAAAATCAATGAAAATATTCTATCTAGCCTATATTTGTGAGTCTAAAGTTTTGTATTTAATTTATCATTTATCATAATTAAGGAAAAATTATAATTATAATTATCTTTCCTTCAACTACATCAAAGACTCCAGAAGGATATATTACCTAAGCAAACAGGAAGTGTATTGTAAGCAACTTCCAAAAATCTAACATCACACAGAGAGCTGGCTGCCTGTACAAGTTTTTGTGTTTGAGTCTCTCTCAGTTTTCTGCAAGGAATCATGACCACACCTAACAGCCAGTTTGAAGTCTCTAAAAAGATGATGGGGCCCCACAATGACTATTCCACATGGACAATAATAATACCACTAAGCTGACAAACATCACCCAAAGATCAGCTTTGGACTGCAAACTGCTCAGGACAATTCCAAAATGGCTCTCTGCGATGATCCAGCCTCACAGACTTCTTGAACAAGGACTTGAGATAAGCCCTGCACTTTTGCATTATGCAGAGACTGGACAACAAATGATAGAGCTACCTCCCCCAGGACTTGACAATTAATTCAAAATTTTTCTTTTCAGGATGCCCTAAAGATTCCTTTCTCCCCAAACAGCAGGAATTAATTTTACTAACATGACGCCCACATTCCCAAGAGGTGGTGTGACTGGTGTTTGGTCTGTTTATGGGTTTATGATAATTATTGTTTAGGATGGTTGGTTACAATTTGTTATTGTTAAGGATCAGAAAAAAAGGATAAAAA